CCAGCGCACGTTGAATGGTTAAAACAACACGAATCCTCGGTTTAAAAACACATGATTGCGCCGGCTGTCTTGGCTATTTATTTTTTAATTCGACTACACCCCTGATCCGCCAGTAAGCAAAACAAACAGCAATCACAATCAATTAAACTGCAGCAACGAATCTCGAGTTCGTTTAAAAGCTGAGCAATTTTCCTCGTGAATGTGAAGAACATTTAGGCTCAGTAAACCAATAACCCCCATATACCTACCATGCGAAAAGTAATTCTGGTCTTCAAGTTCACATAACTGGAAATCAAAACTTCCCAGCCTAGCAATTTATTTGCTCATACCTTGTACCGAAGCAAGAGAAATTATTCAAATTTATTGATTTTTGATTTTAATGTTTATAAGTCGTCTCACTTATTATGCGTTCTTACATATATGTAAATTGAAAAAAGGCATACAGTCACGACCCTGTCTGCGTGTGTATGTTTGTGTGCGCGTGTTTTCGTTTATCCGTGTATTTCAACTCGACAATCAAGCAAGCTGCGGTGACAAAATTTTACCAGTTGGTGCCACCCCCAGACCGTCGTACCAATCTCCACGCACGTCTGGGACCCTCGTGCGAAAGCGTGAAAGTTTTGACGGGAAAATTGCTAACTCGGAAACCCAAATAGGACTACAAAGAACGAGAACTACAAAGTTTTCAAATTCAGCCCTCAGTTGTGCATGGTTCCCGTGTACGACCCGTGAAGATTCCTGGTGGGAAAATCGCCAACATGGAAACCAGGAAAGCTAGGACGCTGAAATTTTAAAGAGATGTTCCCAGCTCATGTACATCTTAGAAATATCACAGTCAGCCCCCGGCATGCATGGTTCTCATGGATCGCCCCGTGAAGATTTTTGGCGGAAAATTGCTAACTCGGAGATCAGGTAAGCTGGGAGACTGAAATTTTAAAAGGATGTTCCCAGATCATGTACAAATTAAACGATTTAAATTTAGCCCCCATGTGTGCGTGTTCCCCACTTTACAGGACCGTGACAGTTTTTGGCGAGAAGAATTTCTAACTCGGGGACCAAAAAAGTTGGGAAGCTGAAATTTTAACAGAATACTCCCCGTCTA